CATGATAAAATTTCATTTGCAATTTTTTGCAATTGATCTTGAAAATCTTGGGGTTTTTGTTTTACGTGATGAGAGTTTTTTAATCATATATCATATGCATATTTTCATTGAATATTCTAAAAAAATTTCGAATATGAAATTTTGGGTTTAAAGAAAATTTCTCAAATTCTTTTCAATCGATACATTGAAACCTTAAATTGCTTTGGAACTTTTTTTTTTTTTTTGGTACATTGCCAGGAGGTATCCCCATTCAACCTTCTCCGGGCACCATGCCCTCGTGGTACGGCCCGTTTGGGCTAGCCCCTCATTGTAACAATGGGTGCACTAAGCTTCGCAACCGGAGAAAGGACGAGACTAATCCCCCAACCGAAGATTTTTGGCTTATCCTCTGGGCCCCAAAGATTTTCCAAGAAACTGCTTGATGCAGGGTTTGATCCTGCACCAAGCAATCCCTTGGGAGCTCAGCTGCCAACTGAGCTACCCTTGGAGCTTTTGAGAAACAAGTTTTTAGTTATCTATTGACACAAAAATTATTTGAAATCGTTTCCTATACTAAAGGAATTTCGTTCATAAATGTATAGTTACAAAATATAGGGTTCATATTATAGAAGTTTCAATCTCTCCTTAAATTGATATTATTTCATTGATGTAAAACGAAAATTGGTTTGAGGGTTACTGTTTTATGTTATTTTTAATACAAAAATCACATGTTTTTGTGCCAAGAAAAACTGCGACCCATAGCTTGAAAAATCACTTTTTAAATTTCGAGCGGTCAAACTGCTAAAGGAAGAAGAAAACAATAGAAGATATCAAGAAATCCTAGGTGTTAAGGTGAGATTGTGAGAGAGACATCCTATTTATATTTTTTCACTAAAAAATCTCACGAAATCCACACCAATAGAAAATCTATTAAAATCGTCGGATTTTTGAATACCACGAGATTGTGATTCCATTGTTTAAAATACTGATTGAATACCATCGGATTTGGACGATTCTAAAATAATTCTTTAAAATTCTAATCGAATACCACGTGACTTTTTTTCAGTCCATTAAAATTTTAATCGAATACCAACAGATTTTTTTTGTCCAAAAACAATGCATTAAAATCTCACTCCAATACATTTCCTAAAGGATTTTTTTTTAACTTTTTACGCATTTCGCATGTGAGAAATTTTTTATATAATTTGAGTGAGTTGATTCAAATTTGAATGCAACTACCCAGATGTATCTGGTCACCTTTTTGGGCTATATGGGGCGCACCATATAGCTGATCTTATGAAGATTTCTGATCAGAATTTTGAATAGGTTTTGAACCAATTCTCAAGAGAATATTCCAGGAGCCTGTTAGCAATTTTTGAAATTAAACAGCTCCACTTCTCTCTCTCCAATTTGGCGCCTAATGATTAGATTTTTGGGAGAAAAATCTTATTGGTATTTTATTTTAAATACTCTCCTCTTATGCGCCTAAGTGGTTAGTTGTTCCTCCAAGGGTTTTTCTGAAAAGCCTAGCCTATTCTCTCCTTTCTCCTGCGCCACTTGTGAAGCTTTCACATTGAGCGCTTCACTCTTTCAAACACTTTCACCTAGCCTCCATCTTCACACATAGAGCGCCTAGCAAGCCTCTTTGTGGTGATCATCCGGTGGCTTCACAAGAAGGAGTTCTTGCACCTAGACGAGTGGGTGGTGTGGATCAACATTAGAGGGTCTGAACCCTTCAGTTCTGCCTTGATCATCTGGTGATTTCACGAACAAGGTAACATCATGCTTTCCTAAAGCATGATCTTGATGTGCATGTATATTCCGCAAAGAAAAATTTTGTTTTTCCCTCTTGCATACATCGGCCTTCAAGGCCATTTCGAACTTTCAGGTGTATTGGATTAGGATTTTTTAAAATAAATTTGAGCTCAAAAATCTTATAAATTTTAAAAGACTATTTGGAATTGGAGAGACTTTAAAGACTTTTTTAAAAGATTTTTTTTACAATTAAGATTTCATAAGGTTGGATTTTAATAGAGTTTATAAGATTTGAAAGGACAATATGGATTTATAAGATTTTAAAAAATCATATGAATTTTTAACAAACATTCAAAATTACAATAGTCAATAAAAAAAGGAAATGTTATACTCACAACTAGGGGTGCTAAACGAACCAGGGACCTTTGGCTCGGCTCGTGAAAGCCTGAGCTTACATGTCTAAAATTTGTTGTTGGCACGAGGCTTAGACTTGTATAAAAGCTCGTTTAGTAAAAAGGCCTCAGGCTCAAACTCAAAAGCTCGGCCTTAAAGCCTATCAGGCTGGTCTAGTATATTATTTTGTTTTATTTTTATATTTTTTATACTACTTATAATAGTCATCTCTTTCTCCTCAATCCATTTCGCCTCATTTTATTGGTTAAACATACTTTTTGAACGATTTTGTTCTATATTATGTTGTTTGGATATAAATTGAATTTATGCATATTTATGGAATTACGTGTGTTGTTGATTGTATATTCTGTTTGGATAAATTTTTGTTGTTTATGTTTTTAAAACAGGATAAACAAGGCTTTTATTTTTTGTAAATAAGATAGGCCACAGGTAACAGGCTTGGTCAGACTAACACATTTAAACACAGGCTTAGCCTTTTAAGACTAAAGCTCGGCTCGGTTCGGCCCCGTTAACAACCCTACTTACAACCTATTTTTGTTTACGACATTTTACAATCATATCTTAACCATTGATTTTCGTCAATCAACGGTTATCTTTCATTGCAAATTAAATATTAATTAATGAGTTTGATTTGCGAAAATAATAACCATTGATTGACGAAAATCAACGGTTAAGGTATGATTGTAAAAGGTTGTAAACAAAAATAGGTTGTAAGTATAATTTTTCCTATAAAAAAAAACAAAGAAATGCAATGAAATTAATAAAAAAAAGTAAAACCTAATATAATTTTCTCAATCAGTAAAACATAATATAATTTTTAACAAATATTCAAAATTACTAAACAACAACTTTTCACATATCTAATGAGTTGAAAATTATCTTTTTCAATTGGTATCAAAGCTATGCATATATGATTATAAGACCCAATTTTTTTAACTATAAAAATAATTCTAAATTTGCATATAGAACCTAAAGTTCATGATAAAATTTCATTTGCAATTTTTTGCAATTGATCTTGAAAATCTTGGCGTTTTTGTTTTACGTGATGAGAGTTTTCTAATCATATATCATATTCATATTTTCATTGAATATTCTAAAAAATTTCGAATATGAAATTTTGGGTTTAAAGAAAATTTCTCAAATTTTTTTCAATCGATACATTGAAACCTTAAATTGCTTTGGAGCTTTTGAGAAACAAGCTTTTAGTTATCTATTGACACAAAAATTATTTGAAATCGTTTCCTACAGTGAAGGAATTTCGTTCATAAATGTATTGTTACAAAATATAGGGTTCATATTATGGAAGTTTCAATCTCTCTTTAAATTGATATTATTTCATTGATGTAAAACGAAAATTGGTTTGAGGGTTACTGTTTTATGTTATTTTTAATACAAAAATCACACGTTTTTGTGCCAAGAAAAACTGCGACCCATAGCTTGAAAAATCACTTTTTAAATTTCGAGCGGTCAAACTGCTAAAGGAAGAAGAAAACAATGCAATAGAAGAATATCAAGAAATCCTAGGTGTTAGGGTGAGATTGTGAGAGAGACATCCTATTTATATTTTTTACTAAATTTTTTTTATGAAATCCACACCAATAGAAAATCCATTAAAATCGTCGGATTTTTGAATACCACGAGATTGTGATTCCATTGTTTAAAATACTGATTGAATACCATCGGATTTGGACGATTCTAAAATAATTCTTTAAAATTCTAATCGAATACTACGTGACTTTTTTTCAGTCCATTAAAATTTTAATCGAATACCAACAGATTTTTTTGTCCGAAAACAATCCATTAAAATCTCACTCCAATACACTCCCTAAAGGATTTTTTTTTTAACTTTTTACGCATTTTGCATAGGGAACGGATCCACTTACCACCAAAAAAGTTTACAACCTTTACAACCAACATAATCACCGTTGATTTCCGTCAATCTAACGGTTATCATTTATTAGAAATTATTTGGTCGTATTTATTAATTAATTATTAATTTCAATAAATGATAGTCGTTAGATTAACGGAAATCAACGGTGATTACGTTGGTTGTAAAAGTTGTAAACATTTTTGGTGGTAAGTGGATCCATTCTCTTTTGCACAGGGAACGAATCCACTTACCACCAAAAAAGTTTACCACCTTTACAACCAACATAATCACCGTTGATTTCCGTCAATCTAACGGTTATCAGTTATTAGAAATTATTTGGTCGTATTTATTAATTAATTATTAATTCCAATAAATGATAGTCGTTAGATTGATGGAAATCAACGGTGATTACGTTGGTTGTAAAAGTTGTAAACATTTTTGGTGGTAAGTGGATCCATTCTCTTTTGCATAGGGAACGGATCCACTTACCACCTAAAAAGTTTACAACCTTTACAACCAACATAATCACCGTTGATTTCCGTCAATCTAACGGTTATCATTTATTAGAAATTATTTGGTCGTATTTATTAATTAATTATTAATTCCAATAAATGATAGTCGTTAGATTGACGGAAATCAACGGTGATTACGTTGGTTGTAAAAGTTGTAAACATTTTTGGTGGTAAGTGAGAAATTTTTTATATAATTCTCAGTAATATGTTGAGAAAATAAATTTTACAAAAATATTAAAAAAAACTATTTGATAAATTAAAATATTATCGAAAATAATGTTATAAAAAACTGTGAAATTTTTCAATATCATAACTCATGATGATATTCTTCGATAAAATTTTGGTTTAAAAAATTTTAATTTTTTTTTTCAATCCGTATACTAAATATGATTATTGTCAATTTTTAGGGAATTCAAAATTTCACCTTGAACCAAACGCCCTCTTTTTTTTTTTTGGGTTGGAGAAGTCCATCGTGATGATTGTCTCTAGCATAGGGTTGGGGGATCCAAACAGTGAACGATCAGAAGAAGCTTGGAATCTTCGATGCTGCCTGCCTGTTGTTGTTCTCCATTACTTTCGAATAAACCCTCTCTTCTCCTTCTTAATCCCCCTTAGCTTTCCAACAATAACCTTTTCTTGCTCCAAACAACCCTTTTTCCCTTCTGTTCCCTCATGAAACTTCTTCTTTTACTTATTTTCTTCTCTCTCGTCTCGCTAATCGTGGTATGCTTCAGCTTCAGCCTCACCCGTGACGGTGATGCACACACGCCCCAAAGCTCCCAACTTAGGCTTTTGAAACATCACGATGAAGAACACGTCAAGGGACTTGATCGAGCCCCAGCTCGATCCCTTCTATCTCTTCCACCGTGAATTCCTCTATCTCATCTTCATATGCAATTTTATTATTTTTTCTGAGGTTTACTCATTATTGATGATTAAGCTAGGCGCCATTTTACTCATCAGCATCATGGTCACCATTATCTCTAAGCAGTTGGGTCGGTCATTTATGTTTGAATTTACCATTAAAATATTTTTGGGCATATTCGAATGGTTCTAAGGTTGTTTGAACCTGTCATCGCATGGCTTTGTAAGCACTGTGGTGGAGGGAGGAGTTAGGGTTCGGGGTCGCCCATTTTAAATTTATACAACTAGTCTTTAGGTGTGAGTTTCATTTCTGTTTTGGTCATGTATACCAGTCTTTAATGCGAGCAGTTCTTTTGGTCACGTAGTTTTAACTTACAACTTACAAGGAATACTACACATGCAACTTTGTCCCCATTTACAAAATTTTCAAGCTACTTTTTTCTATTGATCAATGGCATTCTAACCATATCATTCTACTTGTTTTGTTTTTGGGGTGAAATTGACAGTAAGAAAACACGGACCGCACTGATTGCCACCCTAGATGGAACTATGCATTTGGTGGAGAGACAAGAGACTGGTTCCATAAGGAGGGTGATATGGTCATTCCCAACAGGCGCGCCAATCTACCGTTCGTATCGAGCTCCTATCAACAAGGATAATGTTAAAGAAAATGCATCTGCAGCAATAATCAGCGGCTTCATGGAATGCGGGGATGACTGGGCATTGTACATGCACGACAAGCACTTTGGTAAAACGGTAATTGTCTTAAGATTTCTCAGTTAATTGTACTTGTTGTATTGATGCTTTTCTAAAGTGAAGGCTTTTTGATGGTGGTATAAGGCAAATATCTTGGATTTAACTGTTGCTTGGAAGTTTAACTTGTTCTTGATTGGAAGTGGATTGCAAATTGGCAATATTTATTAGCATTTTACTAGAATAACAAAGACAGATACCTATTTGAAGAATAGAATCAATGAAATCCTCAATGCAGTAGTGTCCTTTGCATGATTGACATGTGTTTTGGTTTGAGTGGTAAGTTTTGGACAATCTATGACTGACTGAGTACATATAATATGATAATACATTATAGTTGTGATGGTTAATATTTCAACCCCCTACCACCCAACACAAAAGAAATAGACATCTTTTTGTAACTTTACCAATTACTGAAAGGGGAAATACTTGTTTTGTGACAGAATTGTGTGGCATTGCTTGATTGGAAGCCTTTGAATGTCTTAGATTGAACTTCATGCATAGAAGTTTCCAAAAGATGCTTGAGAATTCATTTGATGGTTTAGAGGGAGAGTAATACAGGGGTCTCAGGTTGTTCCTATGGCATGTCGGTTTTAAGACATGCTATAGTTGTGCCAAAATTAAATGTAATTTAACCTTCTGTTCGTTCTTTATTACAATCTCACACCTATAACTGGGGAAAACAAATGGAGAGAGAATTTTATTGGTATCCTGCATTATTTGAATATTTTTCTACCATGGCGATGCCCGTAATCAACAAGAACTTATATTAAAACATGTTCTGATTTATCAACCATATTGGGTTTTCCTTTTTTTTATTATTTTAAATGTATACTATTTATAACTAATTGTGTTTCCAAGGTTATGTTTATCATAGTGCTGTTATTTTGATGAATATTGAACTTGACTTTCCCTTTATTGGTTTATCATGTCTGCAGAAAATCTCAAAATCTATTGCAGAATATGTAGCTCATATGCCTACCTTTTCAGATGATGGAGCAGTTACACTTGGATCCAAAAGAAGCACTTTGTTTGAAGTTGATGCTAGAACTGGAAGTATCATTCAAATCCACGCTATGTCTGATCTTGATAATGCTTCCGCACCTTGGAGTGATGACAGACAGAGTGTTACAAATATCTTAAGTTCAAAGAATAAGGATATTGATGATCCTGCAAAGTTAAATTCACCAGCATTGCTGCTCAAGATTTTTAGGACAGATTATTCTCTAAAATCTGTTGGTCCTAGCTCAGGAAAAGTTTTGTGGACTATGGCGGTAGCTGAATTTGATGCTGTATTATTATGCCAACATTCCTCAATTGATGTAGAGGATGAGTATGCTTCTGATAGTGGCCTCAATTTTGCGATGCCATACCCATGTCAAGAGATACAACAAGTCTTCCGCCTGAAAAAGAATTTTCTGTTAGAGCCTTCAATCACTGAAGGGGCTTATCATGAAAATGATATGTTTTCAATGCCTGCCTCAGATCCGATGCTTCCTTTGCCACCTAATATTGATACATTTTTCAATGGTCATGATAGTAATGATAATGCAGATGTGCTCCCTCAGCCTCTTGTAGAGAACACTACATCAGGGGAACTTTATCTGAACTGGACGAGTGAATGGTTGACTCCATTACCTCTATTGTTTATGCTCTTTCTTTTGGGCTTTTCATTCTTTTACTATTATCGAACGATTAAAAATCAAGTTACACTGAAGGACCAAAACAAAGAGTCTGAATTAAAAAGTTCACTTGCTAAGAAAAAGAAAGCACGTAAGTCAGGAAAGAACAATGGCATTGTTGACAAAAGGGAAAAACAAATGTCTTCAGAAGATGAGGATGTTCTGACACAAAAGGAGACTGATACAGAAGTGTGGCAGCTCTTTAATCAAGTTGAAGAAGGTGTTGATGGACGAAGGATTGGTAAATTATTTGTTTCAAATAAAGAAATTGCTAAGGGAAGCAATGGGACCATTGTCCTTGAGGGAATATATGAGGGTCGGGCAGTTGCTGTAAAACGTCTTGTCAAGGCTCATAATGATATAGCTTATAAGGAAATCCAAAACCTCATTGTGTCCGACCGTCATCCAAACATTGTTAGATGGCATGGGGTGGAATATGATCAAGATTTTGTTTACCTTGCTCTAGAACGTTGCACATGCAACTTAGATGATTTGATTCAAATGTATTCAGATATATCAGAAAACCCGGTGTTTAGGAAGGACCTAGCTTTCAGATCTCGGATAAAGGTCCAAATTGAGACAGGGAAGGATAATATACAATATCTTTGGAAACCAAATGGCTATCCATCACCTCTATTACTGAAACTGATGAGGTTGATATTATGTCTTCTTTATTTGATAATTTATTAATAAATGCATTCTGTTAAAAAGTAATACTTATAGACATAGTATGGGATAATAGTTTTCACATTTTTTTGTCATATGGCATGGAAAAAATTAAGTTAGTGAAAGCTGTTGGACCAGGTGAAATTATGGAAATTCTTAGGTGAAGTAGGCATTATATAGTTGACAGTACTCTACCAATACCAGATTTTGCTGATAAGTGAGATGCCTGATGATTGGAGGAATGTTATATTACTGATTGAGGAGGGTGGCATAGTTTGAGGTTAGAAACAACGGTTTTAGGCTAAGAAAATGTATATTGTTACTGTTGATGTGCAGGAGCATTGCTACCACTAAGGAAAGAAGACTATAAAAAGAAAAGGTTGTGTGATAAATGGGGATGTTGGGTTTAACATCTAAGGTCGAGGTGGATTCAATATAAGATGAGATAAAATTGACAATAATAATTTGGGGTGTACCAAGGATGACATAAATGAAAGTAATAATATATGGTAGTAAAAGGTGTGAGAAAGCATAGCAGTGAATAAGAAAGAATGGCTATGAATAAATCTATTTAGTTTCCATTTGGATTCTTGTAGTTTATCCAAGTTAGTTGAGGTTAAGATAGGTCTTCATGTAATGAAAGCTCAGACATGGATGTTTACTCTCTAAAATTAGTTTATTTTATACCTTTTATTAATTAACTTTCATTTTTGCATTTCAATGCAGGGATGTTGTCTCTGGAGTTGTTCATTTGCATGAACTAGGAATAATACATCGAGATTTAAAACCCCAAAATGTTCTCATAATCAAGGAAAGATCCTTATGTGCAAAGCTTTCGGATATGGGCATTAGCAAACGCCTTCTTCAAGATATGTCTTCGTTGGGTCATAATGCTACAGGTAAGTAGTCCTTAGAAGAATAAAGAATTTTTTTATTTTTTTTATTTCCTAGCATTTGCCATGTGAATAGCCAATTACAATTAGCATGAGATGAGTACCTGTGGTGATTGTTAGATATCTTTTAATATCATCAGAGTGTTTTAGAATTTCTTAGCTTATCTTCAACATATCTTAGATGATCATTATAATTTAAAGTGGAATCAATTAGTAATCTATGGAGTTGTTTCTTATTTTTATTTTCTTTCCTAATTTGTTTCCTTATTTAATTATGGTTAGTAGTCTTGTTGTACTATATTGATCATTGGGTTAGTGCTACACTATTAGTAGTACTACGCTATTAGGGAGGAAGCAGTGATAGTAGGGAATCCTGAATCCTTATTAGCAGTGGAAGCAACACATGACCAAGGAGATGGGGAGATAGTTCATCATCATGTCGAAACAATTTTAGGAGTTGTCTCCTAATTTTGTTTTCTTTCCTATTTTGTTTCCATATCAATCCTGTCTCATATTATTCAGCATTTTATTTCTCTACAAAAACCCTATAATTCTAAAAGTTATCTGTAAAGTTTTGTTCTTCACCTTTTCCTTTTCTTTTTTTCTTTCTCTCTTTTTCAGCTACGGGAACCTGCTTTAGTCAAATCCTACATTTTTATCTATTGGACTTAGTTTATTATTCTTACACTGTTTAATGGCTTAATTGCAGGTGGTGGCAGTTCAGGTTGGCAAGCACCCGAACAGCTTGTTCAAGGACGCCAAACACGGGCTGTTGATTTATTTAGTTTAGGTTGTGTCCTCTTTTTCTGCATGACTGGGGGAAGACATCCGTTTGGTCAACGTCTTGAACGTGATGTCAATATTGTGAACAATAAAATGGATCTTTTCTTATTAGAGTTCATTCCTGAAGCTGAGGATCTTATTACTCATTTACTAAACCCTGACCCTAATCTAAGGTAAATCATTCTCATTCTGTGTGTTTTCTGAAGAATGGGAATACATTTTCTTGTACCTTCATGATATTGCATCTTGTTATGACTTGCTTAATGTTATGTGGTATAAAATGATGAAGGCTGAAAGTATAAAGCAACATACCTTTATGCATAATAAGATTAGATGTAAGAGTGTTACCCGATTTTAATAATATCTAATGATCAATCTATTGTAGTTTAATTTGAGTTTTGAAGGTCTTCTGATATCAGGTGGTCTTATTTTAAGCTATCCCTAAATTTTTTCAGAATGGGTTAAATGGAAATGGTGTGATTTTATTACACTTTCATTGATAAGACCGGTTATGCTGCAGTAGGACATATAGAGATTCTCATCGTGAGTGGAAGACAGTCAATAAGATTTTTATTCACCTATAACCTTTGTTACTGGTACATACTGATTTTCAATGAACGTTATCAATAACCTCTATTTTAATTGCACTTCCTGTACATGCACAGTTGCTTGCTTTTATTCCAGTAACAGTTAGGACATTGCCGTGTGAATTTTCTTATGGGGTATTGATTTTTGTGCTTCATACCTTTGGCCATGGATGAATCCTGAAAAGCATGAAGCTTGATGATAATGCAAGATTTCTGTATGACAAGTTTATTTGATTTTTCAGTGTTCTCGTCCTCCCCCCAACTCTCTTATTTTGTGCCCCTTCATTCTTTTCATTAGTTAGGTTTCTCTTTCCATTATAAAGAACTGAATGCAGTTGTGTCCTAATCAATGAGGCAGGGTTGGTTTATTCTCTTCCAAAGATCACTAATATGCATATGTGAGAGAGAGAAAAAAAAAAAAAACCGGGGTAAAGGTAATTGGGCTTGCATGTGCGAAGGCACAGTCAGTGCAAAAGAAATTTTATCATCAAGCAGTAATGATAAAGCAAAGGTATTAATCATGTTGGGGGCGACTTTAGGGCACTCCACAACAGAGCATCATCGGCCACTGAATTCTACCATTTTCCCTACTTAAGTTAATAAAGAGTCTCAGAGCCTATCAATTACACATTAATTGATAAAACTTGACAAACATAAAAGATTGGATTGCATAGAGGGACTGCCTTATATCTCCTATAGTATGAGGGACTTGAAGTATATATTTGTAGAAGACCAATTCCTAAAAGCTTAAACTTTTAGATAGAGGCCCAAGAGTGGTGATATATCTCTAGCATTTTTATTTGTGGTTGTCTGGTTACAAGGTAAAAATTTCATTTAATAAGTTATTTCCTTTATTGTCAGGCCAAAGGCAATTGAAGTATTGCATCATCCTTTTTTCTGGAGTTCCGAGATGAGACTTTCATTTTTACGTGACACCAGTGACAGGGTGGAACTGGAAGATAGAGACACTGATTGTGATCTTTTGAAGGCGCTAGAAAGCATTGCCAATGTGGCCTTAGGTGGAAAATGGGATGAAAGAATGGAACCAGCTTTCATTGCTAACATTGGTTATTACCGGCGATATAAATTTGAGAGTGTTCGAGACTTATTGCGGGTTATGAGAAACAAGCTAAATCATTACAGAGAATTGCCTCAAGAAATCCAGGTTCTTTCTTAGGCTAGCATTTACAAGATAGGCTAGCATTTACAAGATAAATTCATTCTCTCTCTATATATATATATGTGTGTGTGTGGCTGGGTAGGTTTGGGGCACCCCTCAAATCAATGCCTGATCGATCCCTACCCACCTTTCGGGTCTTGGGTACGAAAATCCATTCCACCCCTTTGAAAATATCTACTTGCCTTCCCAACTCCTCTATTCCTATGAAAATTTCAAACAAATTTATAGCAATAGCATAACTAATCTCAATCATTACGCAGACCACTGCCTCACGCATCTGTGTTAACATGGTATAATCTTCTAAAGGCATAAACTTCTGGGATACCAAATAATTGAATTAATAACTCATGCATAAGCTGGAAATATTTACTACTTAGGACATGGAAGCTTTCTCCATCCATGTATAATATGTATAGCTTCTAATCTCTTACTGGCTTTTCAGGAACTTGTAGGACCTATTCCTGAAGGATTCAATGACTACTTTGCAAGTCGATTCCCAAGACTCTTTATTGAAGTGTATAAAGTTATATGCAAATATTGCAAGGAGGAAGACTGTTTTGAAAGATATTTTAAAAATGTTGATTAGCACTTTACCCCCTAGTTGGATGGCTTGAGAATATATCAAAAGGGAAAGACTGGTCCAGAAATGAAACAGATTATGTTGATATTTTATGTAATATAATATGGGAAAAACTTTTCTTATGTTATATAAGATACATTTTATCTCCTACACACTCTTCGATAACTGTGCCACCTTTTTCTTTTCTTTTCTTTTATTTTTTCAGGTGGTGGAGCCCACAAATTTATCTCTGTGACATGAGATAACTATCTCCTTTAACATGAGATTAATAAAACCCATATAATATATAATGTATATATGTAGGGTTTTATTTTTCTTATGTTGCATGAGACAACTTGTCTCATGCAACATAAGAAAAATAAAACCCATATATGTATGTTGCTATTGATTAGTCTAACATGAAGTGACCTCTTTATAATTTTCACCTCTTCCCTAAGAATGTGTACAATCATGTCTGATTCAGGATCATGCTATCACCAACTGTTGGTTCTAACATTATCAGATCTGACCCGATTATTGACCTGGCTGGGATCCTGGGTTATTGGGTCATTGGTTCAACTGATGATGGGTCACGGTTGAACTGTATGACCCAGGTTAGTACATGGAAACCTATATTTTATATGTAAAAATATTCAAATACATGTAAAATTATTATGGGGGCTGCAAACATATATAGTTTTTGTAGGGAAAAAAAAGTCATATATAATAAACACATATAGTATTGTAAAAGAAATAAACAAAGAAAAAGAAAATTCAAGTAGCTGGTAGTCATATATAATTCATTTATCAAATATAGTCAACTAACCGTATTTAGTAATTATAAAGCATTTACCAACAATTTTTTTTTCTTTCATAAAAATGGATTTGCAAGGAATCAATATGTCACATTCTCTTAATCTACTAGCAAATAAAATTTGAGGTCACTGTAAGAGAGTATACTACTAGCAAATAAAATTACAAAAAATTTTAAAAGGAGTTTCACACTTTTTTAAGACAACACTATACAATTTTGGTTTATTTATTTATTTATAAATTTGCATGATCTCGGTTTTGATGACCCAACTGAGTCACTGTTTTTTAATAAAACTCGGCCAGTTCGAATCGATTTTTATCAGGTCTGATACATGGCTGGTCCGATACTTGAATCGAATCGGTCAGATGACTGGTTCACTAGATTTTGGGTCAACCTGGTCAATTTGACTAAAAACACTGGTTGGTCCATCAAATCTAGTCTAGCATTAAGAGGATTCAACATTTCAACTAATTATAGTTCAATTTATTATGCAATAGGTTCGATTAAGGCACTTAAAAGTAGGGATGTGCATAATGTCCAAATGATCCAACTATTTTAAAAACTGAACCAAACCAATTAAAAAAATTGATTTTTTTCAAAACAGTTCAAAAAATTTATCCACTTTTTATTTTGGATGTGATTTGGATATTCATTTATCAAATGGTTTGGATATGCTGGATAACCAAACCATATCCGTTTTTTTAATATTTTTTATTTTTACTTTTCAATATAAATGCGGTTCAGTTTTTGTTTTATGCAGTTATTTCGTATAATCTATTTGGCAATGTTTCTGTTTCAAAACTGTTTTTATTTGGCTCTTTTTCCTATCTTGTCCTGCACCGTTGATGAAAAATTCAATGACCCAATTATGGAGATACTAAGTATCATAGATACCTTGTTAAATGAATTAAGAATATCCAAGTCCGATTCAGCTTCACAGTAGCTTGGAAAAAAGCAACAGGAAATAGTTGGACGAGATTTTTCAGAGTTCAGAGGCTCACTGTCCCTTATACCAATAACATCTATTGTTAACTAAGTCGATATATAGATCCAAGTGCAAAACAAGAACTAAAAACTAGAAATTCCTAAACTAGAAACAAGAAAGGTATTTTTTATTTTATTTCAAAATAAATAAATAGCACAGCTCATCAAAGATCAGTTTTGAATTTGTTATAAAATTGGTTTTGAACTTGATAATCGGTTTATGAACTTATAATCGGTTTTGATTTAAAACCAGTTTTGAATTAAAACCGGTTCAAAACCATAAACCGGTTTCAAACAGGTTTGGACAAATTAAAAATCAATTTAAAAAAAAAACTGATTTGGTTTGAAAACCAAACCATTAAAAATCGGTTCAGTTCGGTTTTCGGCAAAATATATTATGAACCCCTCCATGCACATCCTTACTTAAAAGATCATTTCAATTTGCATTTACCCTCTTTTAACTTACATATAACGGTAAAACCAAAATTAAATATTTAAATAGTAAAAATTCGTTAAATTGTAACGTCAATTATATTCAATTTATTATGCAAGGCTCGATTAAGGCACCTAAAAGATCATTTCAATTTGCATTTACCCTCTTTGAACTTACATATAAAGGTAAAACCAAAATTATAAGAAAAAATGTTTAAATAGTAAAATTTGTTAAACTGTAACGTCAATTATATCAATGACCGAACAAGTAAGGTAGTCTAAAATTAGCCGTTATGATACAATCTACGAGATAGAGGTCAACAATTGGTCTATTGCATTTATCGTTTTGGATTATGTATTCTACATAAACCATAATAAGTAGGAACAAAAATTGCAAAGCCACCTTGTACCAAACGTTCTTAGAATAAAGTCAGACACAAATTGATATATCCTACAAATATGTACCAAAAAAGAAAAGATAAAATGTACTAGGAACCCAGCATTTTCAATAGAGAATGAAGGTTGAAGAGGGATGCTGAAGTAGTTGGCATAAGGGGCTACAAAATTAAGTGGAGCAAATACATAGGCAGATAGTTACACTTCAACAGTTGAATCAATTATTTTTGATGATGATTGAGAATATTCTGTATTGGAGATGCTGGATGATCCAACCTCACTTGTGTTTCTGTATAATATCCTCTCCATTTGCTTTCTCTTGGAGCGGCTCTTAACTATCTCTTCTTTTTCATCTACAAACGAAAGGAAAGTCCTCAGACGTGAAGATCCTGAGTTTTGGCATGAAGACTCAAGTTCCTCAGGGCCGTGCTTGATGTACTGTCTCATGGTCTGAATAAGATATATCATGAGAGCAAGCAAACATGCCAACCCACAGACTAGATAGAGGCCCCAAAAGCTTTTGAGATTGAGTCTGTCCACTTCAAGCTTTGCACCCTGTAATAGGCATGCACTGCTCAAAAGCCATTTGTCATGGATCCTTTGTAAATCTCCATTTTCTGCCAACTCCAAAATGGCGGTTGACAGGTCAACTGCTAATGGTGAGTCTCGTGGAAAGGCCTGGGAATAAACATGAAGGACACGAAACAGTTAAATACTACCTTCAGTTGATATCTTCAAATAAGGGAACCAACAATTAAGCATGGGATATTAACCTTGAACTGAACTACAGTGCTAACAAAAAATGTTACTTAGAAATGCAGGGAAGGTAATATCCTGCCATCTTTTCCTTCCCGTTTTAGAATAACTAGTTGAGCACATTTCAGTAGTTACTAGACAAAAGAATATGCTCTGGCAAAAAATAATCAAGTAAAAGCTAATATGAGTTTACCCCTGTAAAATTGACAGAGATTTGAGAAAAGTGTACATAAAAGTGGATTCCGGTCTCTTAATTTATATTCAGTGAATTAAACTAGTAGTACAATATAGTACAAAGAATAAAAATACCTCTACACCATAAGCATATCACATTTAATTCTCAATACTCTCCCTCAAATTAGATCAAGAACGTTAATGGTTAGAGATGTTCATATAAAACCATTAATATGCCTTTATCTAATAATTTAAGTTTTTGCCATAGTTCATTACATGGTATAAGAATCTCTATGACTATGTAATCTAGAGTTCGATCATTGCTGCTACTCATTTTTCTAATAAAAAGTTGAATTTTAGTAAAAGGTAGACAGATTTGTGCATTGTTGATACAACAAGTCCCAAAGACTCTTATGTAAGGGAACATGCTAGAGATATAATTTAAAACCATTCGTTTATCTTCACCTGACAGTATAAGCTTTTGAAATCATTGGTTCGCAACATTAATAATATCCAACTTGTTTTAAAGGTACTCAATCTTACTCTTAAGTGCCTTCATAATGATGTCAGATGTTTGTTCTCCAGTTCTAAAATATTTGGTAGATACAAATGCTTTCTGAATCTTTTCCTGAATAAAATGGCAATAAGTCCATGTGTTTCAATCTTTCATGAACACTAGGTTTGAGAGGCAATGTGGATTGAAGTTTGATTATCATTTATCACATCAAAGTTTAATATGTAGAGGTCCTAGAGGATCCTTGAAGCCAATCTCCTCCAGGAGATGAGGCACCTATATTCTGTGGCGTTGTCTCTTCCTGCTCATTGTTTGTCATCTTCCACGGCCTTCGTCAACCTCTTGAATCCTCTCTCCACTGCAAAAACCATGAAATAATTCCCTGGATTCAGGGAGTCTGATACCAGTGATAGGAATTGGTTCAAGTTTGAAAGAATTGATGGGCCCTTGGTGCCTTTTAAAGAAGTCTATAGGAGTAAGCATAAAGCCCAAGTTAAAGGGAGAGGCAATCATCAGAAGGAAAACTAGGAAATTGAAGGGGAGTTAGTTCGAAGGGGCTCCACGTGGCAAGCAATGAATGGGGAAGGAATAGTTGGAGAGAAGGATGGTGAGTGTTCTGGTATATAGGGTGGTTAGGCTGTTGAGGTGAGTATGGGATTAGTATCCTATGGAATTTGGTATTGAGCAACTGAAGGGACAGGTTCAGGAGCACTGGGAGAATCACTGGGTCAGGTCACCTGCAGCAATTGAGTATCGTGTCTCTTGTGTATTGTGCTTGTTTTGCTAGTCTGATAGTGTTGTGGTATTGTAATTTCCTCTTTTGGGTTATTCGAACTTCCATTTGTAAGGAGCTTAGTCTCCCTTTTGTTAATTGAATTTCTGGTACCATCAAATATAAAGAAAGAAACTGAATTTTATTGTCGTATCCTCTTCCATAGGATCTGAATCCAATCCTCAAGGTAGAAATTTGTACAAGATTTACAATGAAGGTTCCCCTCTGTCTCTCTCAACTCCAGGACTTCTGCTCTAACCTGTTTTCTCCTGAGGAAATTTTGGCAAGAGCTGGAGGAGAGTTAACTTTCGAGATATCAGGGGATGATGCTACCATTTAAAAAAAATAATGCCAGAACAGTGTTTCTAGCGATGAATAGTAACTTTGGCAACGAACAGCACGGGCGATGAACAGTGACTGTACGGACACGATGAACAGTTCCCCGTGAACAGTAACGTCACGAACAGTACCCGCGTGAACAGTTGCAGAAACAAGACGGAGGGACGCATGACGTAGAGGAAGGAGAGAACACCTAATCAATGGACTTGGGGTTTTAGCGGAAGCGAAAGTTCCCAGAACAAAGAGCTCTAGTACGAACTTAAGATTGAATAATAGAATATTGTATATTGAATTAATTGTTTGTTACAATGTACAAGAGCTTTCTATTTAAAGAGACTAAAAGATCTAATGGGCTAAACCCACAAGATGTGAGACTATATACATTGAACTATTCTAACAACTACTCTAACATAAACTTTGTGGCTGTTCAGCATTTCTGTTAGACCACAAAATTGGAGTATATATAATAGTTCATAACAAACTTGTATGTTATGATTTAGCAGGAAAGTTCTCTCTGGATTAATATAGCTAAACCATTCAACCCCCTTTCCCCAGTGTTTCATGCTTGACTGATTATTAATCTAATGGACAACATGAACTGCAGAACTAACTATCAATTAGAATATTCAAGAGAAAAATGTATCTATACTTTCTTTAGCAACGAAGGAAGAGAAAAGCATGTCAAGTTCCAAATTACATTTTAAATCCCAAGCACATCAAAGAAAATTAGGACAATTGGTAAGGAAATACTTACAAATCCCCAACCATTTCTGGTGAACTCTTGACCTACAACAGTAAAACCACACCGGCTTGAAAGGAAGAGCTCTATGTAAGCACGCTCATCAACATATGCAGCAACACCACCTCCTTTGGGACCTTTTTCCAGTGCTTTTGCAGTTTCTTCTGGTGTTTTTAGAGGAACTAATCTGGATTCATGAATACCAATTTCCTCAATCAAATAAGTTCGAGTAAAAGAACCCTGCAAATAGCCAATAGGCTCTTCGCTATTTATTAAACTTCCAATGCCTTTAACAGGTGAAGAAAGTTGTTGCACTGTGAGGATTGAAGTCAGGCTTGCCGTGTAACTTGAGTTAATTATGAGAACTACAAATAACCATATAAGCAGCACTAAGCGACCAAGAGTGCTAACTGTATTTTCTCCTACAAAGTATAAAAAAGAGCAAGTTAATTAACTCCAAGTGGCTAAAACTTAATACATGGACCATGGATGTCACAGATGACAAAAAACTGGCACTTACTGTGAGCAAAGAACATAGTTGAAAGACTAAACCTGTCAAATAAAACACAAAACGGAAGTTTCAAACATATCCAGAGCTATAAGTAAACCCAGTTTGAAAGCTGTAACGTAAAAATAATTATTGCATGCATCAGCAACATAGGTTGGGTTCCAAAACAGGGTCTTTTGACTAGAAACATTTTCCTGTGTTGATTCAAAATCCAAATATTTTGTTAAAATAATACAGTGAGACAGGCAAGGGGTTGTTATTGTCCAAGTCTCGCACCTTCTCTTGTACGTCTCACTGTATTATTTTGCAAATTGTTTGGATTTTGAATCAATGCGGAAAAATATCTCTTTTCACATCATTATGGTCAAAAGGCCCCAAAAAAGTTCAATATGGTTAAGCCCGAGAAAGGTTGGAAGAGAGAAAGACCAAATTTCCTTACCACAAAACTGTGACTACTTGTTTTTTAGGAGGTCCCCTAAAATCATCATTCAGCCTATGCTCTAAAATCCAAACAACAGCACCCACTAGTAGGAAAAAAGTAGCTGTTACGGTCCACATCATTGGTGTAAATGGCATCAAAAATGCCCAAGCATTGGATTCCATCTTCTTAACTGATGCTACTACCACTAGACCAGACTCAATATATGGCTGAGTAAAATCCACCATCCTTGTTCTCTCTGTAGTTATTGTAATGTCACCTACTACAGCATCAAAGACCTGTATGGTAAGAAGAAAACTGGTCTCAGAAAAGTAAACATAAAACATCCATACTCCACAAAAATTATTGGAATGATACTCACACCCGCTGTGATCAGACGAACAAGCTCAGTGTTACTAGGATTGCTGTGACCATCCCCATATGGAATAAATTTGTAGGGGACAGCATAGGGCAACAAGTTTACAGCAGAAAGAAACACATCAATGCAGAATCCCTTGAACATGTCAGTGCCTTGTACTTGCGACACAAATTCGCGATAACTAACCCTTTTTGGTACTCCAATTTTTAACAGCCTTCCATTGCTTGGAAAAACCCAACCACGAGGCTTCTGAGTTGTGTCTCCTGGCCAAAACACAGTGAGTAGTTTCTTACTAGCACTGGAACGATTTCGTGGGTTTGAATAAAGTGCTTCTGGAGGAACAACTGATAATCCAGAGTAATTAGACCAATAACCGATCCTCCGAGTCCCTGATCCAATTACATTGATGATTTCATATGCAGGATTAACAAGGTTTCCATCTGATGTATACTTGAAAGGACCTGATACACCAGTCATGTTAACCTCATAAATACTTTTACGCAACAAGTTTCCTTCATTGAAGATTTTCACAGCATCAAGATGCATGTTGTCCCCATGTAGTTTAGATATTCTTGAATCATAAGAAAATGTGATCTGGTTCCCTTGTTTGAAAAAGCTATCAAGAGCACGAGCAAGCACATAAACAGTATCATATGCATAGATAGCATAAGTACTCAAACCAAGGGAACCATTAGCAGTCTTTCCACTAGTCAAGTTTTTCCACCTAGAAACAAACCATTTTTTGGGCTTTGAATCAGGTATGTACATACGCAGTGTAATAACTCCTTGAATGTCATCCATTGCATCTGAAGAGAGTGGATTATCTATGTCTAACCGAGTAGACAGAAAATTAGTGGCAATCCAGACATACCCATTTTCCATCATCCCAAGAGACTTTGCCACATTTAACACTTTGGGACCCCAAGCAGTACTTGTGTGAAGAACTAAAACCCGGGACTCTGCAAGGGCCACCTGAACAAGCACATTAGTAATCTCCTCTCTAGTTGCTTCAGGACTCATAGCTGCTTTAAATGAGATCTTGCAACGTCTCTCAGCAAGCTTATCCCCTAATGCACCAATTCCATTCCTCCCATGATCATCATCACCATAGACTGCAATAACATCTCTCCACCCATAATAGTTAACAAGGTCTGCTATTGCAGTCATTTGATATATGTCACTAAAGGCAGTTCTAACAAAGAATGGGAATTGGAGTGAAGAAAGGGTAGGGTCAGTGGCTGAAAATGATAGCAAAGGAACTTGGAGCTCGTTTGCAATATGAGATATGACATGAGCTGTTGTAGATGTCTGAGGGCCAATTATGGCCACAGTTTGTGTTGCCATGAGCTGCAAGGCTGTTACATGCAATTTATTTTAAACAAAAAAACTATAATCTGCCAAATTTGATGTAACTTGTTTAACTGAAAACAAAGTCATATGTGTAACTGAAAAATATCAATGTTATGAAAGGCATACCCTCAGAAATGCTTAAAAAACCTCTGTATTTGGAATCTTCTTGCAGTGAGACCTTCAACTTAGTTTTACCCAGAATAGATGGATCAGAATTTACATCTTCAACAGCAGCTTCTACAGCAATTTTCACAATTCTACCAACACTGGTATTGAAAGAGTAGAGAACCCCAATATTTACAAAAGCAGGTTTTGTGGAATTATCCATGCCAACCCCAGTTGAAGAGAAACTATTGGAGAGAACTATTAACACCACAAGCCAGACTCCAATCATGGTTGGAGTTTCCTATTGAAAAGCTAGTAACAATCACCCTGCTTATCAAACAAATAAAGCAACATCCTCAAAAAAATAATATAAAATATAAAAAAAGTGTTAAGTTAAACACTCCTCCCAAAAATGGTGACTTTTGTAATATTAAGCATATATTGCAGCTCTTAATCATGACTTTGGTTGGTAAGTAACAGTAGCCCTCTAAAGTTAGTTCCGGCCCAAGAAACTCAAAGCAAATACACAGGCACAGAGGTAGAAACATAGAGACAAAACCAAGGGTGTGTATTGCTCACAAACTCAAGCATAAAAATAACATGACAATAGACGCAAAGTACATCTCAAACACACAAACAAGAAGGGAAAGAATAAAGCACTAAAGTGCCTCCTATTAAAGCAAAAAGCTATCAGATTGCAAGGGGAAATAACAGCGTGTGAAGAACAGAACCTTATTCAAAAAGATGAAAGTACCTGAAGTTTGGTTCACAATATAGAAGCTGGCATCTGCATTTAGTTGCAAAATAGTGCAGAAGACATTATGTTTGGTTCACTTTGAGAATAAAAATTTCAACTTTACATATAACCAAAATATTTTAAAAAAAAATTAAATTGAAAAGATCCAACTTTAACCAGAAGCCATGAGCTTCACTTGAAGAGGGACGCAAGATCGGAAGCAGAGCAAGACCATTGGGTAAAAAAAAAAAGTAGTGAAGATAAGTAGAGAAAATTGAGAAGAAAAAAATAAAGGGTAGAATCTTCAAAGGAAATGTTAATAGCCCCATTGCTGAGAATAATATACTTAAAAATGATTTCAGAGCCACACGTAGATGCTGTTTCTTTTCCTTTTTGTTTTTTTATTAAAAAGCCAAAAGGGGCCCTTAATATCAAAAAAAGTATGCGATGGTACTGGCTAAGGTTCATGTCGGGGAATATCCTCATTCAGTTGAAGGTAATTGCTGTCACACTATACACTAAAAACACTATCAACAGTGAGAGTGTGATGTGAAGCTCTGGTCTTATGGGACTCTGCCCTTACATTCCCCGTGGCTGTGGTTGTTAGTGTGAATCATGACAATTTCGGGGGAGAGAGAAAAAGTGCGTGGGGCGAAGTTCGTGTCAATTATTGCAATTTAAGTGGATAAAATATTTTGGTGGGAAAACACAAAATTCCCATTCATACTAAAGGAACACGGAAGTTATCCTATCCTATCCTATCCTCTAATGTGATGATCGTGAAAAAAATAAAATAAAAATAAGTAAAACGTGATTTATATTTTTATTTGAAAAATTGTTGAAGCAAAAAGGCATCTGTAATCAGGTTTTGCAAAATAAAATAAAATAATAAAAGGATTAGTGTTTATGCCGGATATAATTTTGTATCTTACACGTGTAAAAGTAAAAATGCACGAGGTTTATATTTTCTTTTTATTTCTCCTCCTTTCACATGAGTTTCTCATATTTTTATGTACGTGTAGTATGTAAAATTATCTTAACATCAAAAAACATCAATCTCAATAATAAAACAAAACAAAAACACTTGATTAACGCTATTTTGAAACTATTTATAATGCAATTAGTGAGTTCACCATGTGGGCCAACGTTTTGAAACTTGATACTCCCTCGGCAAGTTCGAACTTGCTAGCCTTCTATGAGTTTTCCAAAATCTCGTTGTTTAAATTTAGGTGGTGTTTGATAAGAGAATTTCTTTTTATTCGAGAATCATGATTTTTGGGAATATAATTGGAAATTAATTTTTTTAGGAATGTTACGAAAAATGTGTTTGGTTTGTAAAATAAATTCCCAGAAATGTTGGAGATATTATCATGTTTCTATATTTGGTTGAGTATATAAAATTGTTGGGATTGTGCAGCGATATTATAAAAATACCCTCATTTTTGTAAGAAAGAAAGCAAACCTAGGGCTACAATGGGATATTTTTGTCTGCAAATGCGTTTTCAATTTTCCCATGGCGTGAAAATTATAAAATTCCACAATTTCTGGAGAAATTTTTTTTATCCAGAAATCTCGATTTTCAAAAATATAATTTTTATATTCATGTTTACAATAATATTCAAAAATTAAAAATTTAGAAAAATTCAGTTTCCCAGAAATCCTACAGCATGACGTGTACCAAACGCCTCCTGAAAATCTTTGGTTGGGAAATTGTGTGTAAAATATAAATACCGCAAAGCAACATACTTGAAAATATTTTTACATTCCGTCTTATCAAACGTGGGAAAATAACATTTCTATTTGGACTTTCCTAAGAAAAGCAAATTTTTCCTCCTATCAAACACAACCCTAGGAAATAAGAGTTTTTATGCTCCCCGAGCATCAAATTTTAATTGATCCAAATCAATAAAAATATGACAACTAATTAGAAAAGAAGAGAGATTAAATTTTTTTTTATACAAGTGCCAATCTCTTAATGGAAGGAGAACATCGGGGAGGAATCACTAAATTTTTTTCCAATCATATGTCACATGGCCTAATACTCGATGTCGATTCCACTTATCCCCTTCTCTATATAACTATTTCCTTACCCTCACTTTCTCAATTTACTCCACCATCACACAACTCACCACCTACTTCTCCCCTGCGTATCTTGCATTATTGAAAAAAATAGTTCAAATTTGCAAACAATTAGTGTGGTTCTCTACCATAATGGAAGGAAAATGCAAAATTCTGGTGCAATGTGAGAAATGAACAATCTCTGTTTGACGCAGCATTGGAATCGATGATATGGAGGAGGAAATTCACTAGAAATTGGGACTCCACGAAAACTAATATGTTTCTCACTTGAATGCTAGAGTTAACATTGAAAATGATGAGTACATTATTGTGGCAGGTTCTGATGATGAGGATGTTGATATAATGCACGATGCATTTGTCGATTAGTTTCGATGGAGATTGGTTTAGTTGTACATGAAATTGATTCTACTGAGGATTTGTTATTACCAATTTAGTTGTAAGGAAGCTCGTGAGTCTAATGGGTGATAATCCACAGCAGTTGCAAGTGAATGGGGTTTGGTATGAGCAGAAGCCCCAACAAAATTTTCAAAGAAATCAGAATTCTCCTGGCAGAAATAATTTTCAGAGGAGAGGTCAAGGAGGTGGTCTTGATTATAGTTCAAACAACTTTCTGCAACCTCCTCCTATTCCACAGAAGGAACTTTCTGATTTGGAGAGGTTAGTTGGACAAATGACTCAACACTCCAATGCTTTTATGGAGGAGACTAGAGCTAATACCAAAAACACAAATGCTTTCATGGAAGAGACTAGGGCTAATACCAGAAACATGAGTGCTTCGATCAGAAATCTGGAGAATCAAATTGGTCAGCTGGCCAAGCAAGTTGCTGATAAAACTCTAGGTAATTTCCCTAGTAACACAGTCACTAATCCAAAGGAGGATTGTATGTTTGTCACCACTAGAAGTGGTAAAGTGGTAGCAGCTCCAGAAAAGCCGAGCATAAATGTGGAAGCTGAAAAGAAGCTGGATACTGCAGGTGAGCCAGAAAAAGAAAAAGAAATTGAAAAACCTGCTGAAGTGGAAAAGCCAGTTGCAAAGTAGAAGTTTGAACTGAAACCAGAATATGTGAGGGCAATGGCACCTTATCCAGAAAGGTTTAAGAAAGATGCTCAAAAACAGCATTATGAAAGATTTCTGGATATATTCAAGAAATTGCATATCAACATTTCCTTTGCTGAAGCTCTGGCTTGCATGCCTAATTATGCCAAGTTCATGAAGGACTTGTTATCAAGAAAGCATAAGCTGCAGGAATGCCAAACTGTAACACTCACTGAGGAGTGTAGTGCCATCATACAGAAGAAGTTCCCACCCAAACTCAGTGATCCAGGGAGTTTCAAAATTCCTATTGAAATTGGGGACACAAAAATTGGCAGAGCATTATGCGATCTTGGGGCTAGCATTAATTTGATGCCCCTTTCTATTTGTAAATCCTTGGGGATCACCGAGTTGAAGCCCACTTTGGCATCTCTTCAACTTGCTGATAAGTCTTTGAGGAAGCCTAGTGGTATTATTGAAGATGTTCTTGTGAAGGTGGACAAGTTCATCTTTCCTGCTGATTTTGTAGTGTTGGACATGGAAGGGGGAGCTGAGATGCCTCTTTTTCTGGGTAGACCTTTCTTGGCCACTGCTCGGGCACTGATTGATGTTGAAAGCGGGAAGCTTGAGCTAAGGATGAATGATGAGATCGTTACCATCAACGTCTTTGATTCTCCAAAACAGTCTTCTCACAAAGACGATTGTTTTAGTCTTGAAGTCTTAAAGGAAAAACAAAGTGTAGCGGATGATGCCAAGGAAGATGGTGCCATGAAGGTGGATTTGAAGGAGCTTCCTCAACCTCAAAAAAAATGTCTTCTTGGGTAATAAGGAGACGGTGATTGAAGCACTGAAGGAAGAGGAAACTGAATTGAAAAATAAAGATCCCTTTTCCCATACCAACAAAATTCTCAATGAAGATGATGACAAACATGGGAGAAAACCCCAAGGGAAGCGTCATCCTATACGGAAGAAGGTACTGAGAAAGGAAATGGTGAAACTCTTTGATACGAGTTGGAAGAGACACTGGGAGCTGAAGTTTGACAAGAGACACTGAGACTCTATCTCTCGGAAAAATCAATGCTTCAAAGAGTTTTTAACATGGCTTCATGGTTTGGAACAAATCTGGGAATGGTGGTCTCATACACCAAGGCATCCAGTACCACCAGATCCTCCATTTGCTGAGTCATCCCACGCTGCTGAAGGGGATGACATGGAGGGTTGATTATATCTCCTTGCTGACAGAGATTTTGTATATTAGTTTATTTTTCTGTTTCGTATTTTTTTTAGTTACTTTGTGTTGGTATATTTCTCTCTGATGTTTTAATGTGCGCATTATAGTTTATCCTATATGCCACTGTTTGTTCCATTGCGCAGGTTTTTCTTCCTCTTGTAGTTTAATTATTGCTGAGGACAACAATTCTCTAAATCTGGGAATGGTAGGCTTGCATCTTGAAACTACAATTCTTCTATTAGGGGAGATATTCTAACTCTTTTAAATTTTCTTAGTTATTTTTGTGTGCTCTTTATTTTTACCCTAAAAAAAAAAAGTTGGAAAATGTTTTTCAAGCAATTCTCAGGTTTAAATGTGCTTATATAGTTAATATGCTTGACTGAATTCTTGGAATATATTGTATGACTTTCTGGCATGACATTACATAGGCATAATTGGATTGCATGATTGCTCGTTTGTCTGAATTAATATTGTGAAATTCTGATAATGTCTGAGGTCAATTTTCTTGAGTCTGCATTGATACCATAACTGTGAGGTTTGAGCCTAAACACTGAAATTTTTGTTGAGAGGCCTCACTGTTGTAATACTCTAGAACTTGATCTGTTTCTCTGTTATGCATGCATTGATTGATATGATAAAGGCATTTTGTTCTTATTAGCTTATGGCCAAAATAGCCCACCTGTATAAAATTTTCCCTTGCTGCCTTTGAGCCTGAACTTATTTGTTGATAAATGACCTGTGCCTAAATTATGGCTTAGCTTATGTCATTGTGACTTACCTTGAGTGAGATTGAATCACTGAATGTGTTAAAAATAAAATAAAGAAATTAAGGTAAGCTCCACAAAGGTCAAGTAATTAAGGGATGGAAAATTCA